TTTAAATGAGATTACTTTCAAAATAAAATAACTGTCAACATGGAACATGCTTTCAAAATTCAAAAGGATCTCTTTATCCCTGGCACTGTAAGACTGAATTCCTGTCCTCTGTATTACTAACTCCTTCCTGATTCTGCCAGAGTGTGTACCACACTCAATGTAAAGTAGGGGAGAAGTGTTCGTATATTCAGGCTTTTTAATAGATTAAAGAATAATTTTATAGATTGTTTTTTAGTGACTCAAATGTATTAGATACTATGGGCCATGTACTTTACCTGTGTGTTACCTCATTATTTTTTAATATTTACTGAACTACCTGCCTGGCCCTGTTCCAGGATCTAGGGCACTGCAGTGAGCAGGAAAAGTCACATGACTACACAGCTCTCTAGTGGTTCATTCCCATCGTCTAAGAGGAAAGGCTCCCTTTATTTAGTACGGCCAGTGCTGCTGACCCCCTTTCCCTCTTTCACCTTTTGGTGTTTTTTATCTGCCTCCCCATTGCTTGCGTGTAAGGTTCATGAGGGCAGGGATCTTTCTTTGTCCCCTGTGGACCCATATGCCAAGAGTCTAGAATAAGTGGTGGCCGACTATGGCCCACAGGTCAGATCTGGCCCACAAGGTAAGAATAGATTTCACATTTTTAAATGGTTAAAACAATATATATTTTACAACACGTAAAACTTACCTAAAATTCAAAATTCAGTGTCTGTAAATAAAGTTTTATGGGAACACTGCCAAGCACATCTGTTTACAGATTATCTGTAGCTGCTTTTCATGCTATAGGGGCAGAGTTGTGACACAGCCCATAAGGCCCACCGAGCTAAAATAGTTATTATCCGGCTCTTTACTGGAAAAGTTTGCCAGCGTCTGACTCAGAACACAGTTTAAGTGTTCAATAAATAGGTAGTGAATAAGTTAAAGACTGCAAAATTTTAGAAAGTTGAAATGAGTTATGCAGCCAACAGAGGTGTTTAAAGTAGATATGCACATCAAAAATCTCTGCTACAAGAACACAGAGCAAAAGCCTTATGGAATGTCTCTGATTTATTTTATTGCCGAAGTTTGAGGAGATTACGGGTAGTCCCAATGCTGTTCCATCTGCCTTTGTCACTCTAACCCCAGTAAGCATGGCACACTCCTTCGCCTCTCAGCGTAGATGTCATCTTCTGGGGAAGGCCTTCCTGACCACCCTATTTAAAACAGCTACCTCTCTCCCACTGGCACCCCTGTCCTGCTTCACTGCTCTTGTTTGTTTGCTTGTTTTAACTCCATGGCACTTTTTGCTTCAGATTTTCCCTGTGGTCTGTGTTCCTAAGGAGAAGCCAGGATTGCAGTGGGGATACAGGTGGCCCCTCCCATGAAAAGTCCCTACTTGTATCTATACCAATCAAATCAAGTTCCAGTGTCTCGATATACCTGCAATTTGGTTCTTACCAGCTCTCCCCTCCCCACAATCATTACTTCCTGATTTATCTTGTTCTTTTCCATAGGATTTGAGCCAATGGGATCTCTTATTCCAGTAAAATAAATATAGCATACTTCTCATCAATGAATCTGGAAATCTTGCCTCAGAGATAAATGGCCATATATTTGCACAAACAAATGGAAAAATGTATAAACAGATTCGTTTTTCAGGGGATGTTTATTATTTGGAAGCGTGGCTTGTTCTTTTTATCATCGGTCATAGTCTGCTAACAGTCGCCAACTAGCTATTGAGCACCTACCATTAGCTTCAAACTATCTTCTCACGCCACTTAAAGCCAGTGCTCTTCACCCTGATTTATAAAACCTTAACCTCTCCACCTCTAGGACCTCTTCTCCTCCTTTCCCTTCACCGACTACATGTCCAAGTTTACAGGTACTTTTCGTTGCTGCTCATACTGGCTGTGGTGACCCTGTTCACTCTGGTCATTTCAGCCTCCACTATGAAGCAGATTACTTTCACATCTAATCTTCAGTTCAGACACGTTGTCTTACATAGACAACTGCCTGATGGCATCTCCACCTCGATACCCAGAATCCAAGACAAGCGTCATCTTTCCCTCTAAATTGGCTTCTCTTTCTTTTGGTACCTTTTCTGAATCCATTGTTGGCACTACTGTTCACACAATTCACCCAAATTAGAAACCTGGAAAGCACCCTAATATCTCCTTTCCCTCATTCCCTGTATCTCTTCAATGTTCAAGTGATGCCGGTTTTATTTCCTAATGTATTTCCCAAATCTGCCCCTTTTCCTTATCCCTGATGCTCTTGTAGATCAGGCCCTCCTCACCTCACCTGGAATTGCTAATGGCCGCCTCGTTGGTCTTTCTCACTGCGTTAAGCCTGCCCCTACTCATATTCACCCTCCTTAGAGCTACAAGCCACAATGGCTTTTCCAAAATACTAGTCTAACTATTCTGCTCCTATAATTAAAACCTTACACGGAACACTGGATAAAGCCCAAGCTCCTTAACACCACTTACAAGGCCTTCCATGTTCTGACCCTGCTCTCTCCAGCCTCGTTTTTCACTACATCGGGTCATGCATCTTACTTTGTCATCATGTTTGCTCTTTCTTAGTTGCATGCCATTGTTTATGCTTTCCCGTCTACCGAGGATTCTTTGTTTGACTTATATCTAATTCTCTGAGAGTAAATTTAAATCGTATACTTCCAGGGAAGCTATCCCTGCCTTCCTTCACCCATCCAGTGGTGGGTCTCCCTCATCACTCCATTGATACCTCTGTACATGCTTCTATCATTGTGTTTACACTGCCCTGTCATTATCTATTTATATGTCTGTCATGTTCTACTAGCCTATTATTCTTTTCTATCTGAGATACCTAATACCTAACACAGTATTGGGTGCAATGCTGAATGGAATGAGGAGTGAGGAAGCACACATCGATGTTAAGGATAAAAGAATGGTTATCGTGTTCCACAGTTTCATACACAGTCGTCTGAATAGGGGGTCTCCACACTAAACCTTAGGAGACAGTATTTCTAAGGACTCTCTTACCTAAAAAGAGCTTTTTTGGAAAGAATGAGGTTTTACTTTTCTTCTAACATTTAACAAACCCTTGCAAATGTTCATGTTACAGACCAAACCTGGGCCACCCAAAAAGCCGAAGACCCCTTCCGGACAATCAGCCTTAACATATTGCTACAATTGCGGTCAAGAAGGCCATTATGGACACGTAAGTCTGAGTGGCGTTGGAGCCTAAAGCATTCTGCTGTGCAGGGAGTGGCTGCTAAAAGATGAACTGAAAAAGGATGCACTTCTGAGTGCTTACTTTTTTATAAACTAATATCCTAATGTAAGACTTACTGTATTTTCAACTGGTTTACTTCTCCCATCCCTGCGAGAGTCACAGACCTGTCAGAGCACATCCCTCTAATTGTTTTAAATATACGTGAACAGGTTAGGCTAAAACAAATACAGCTCATAAAATCAATCAGACAAATAATAGTAGTCACACAAATAGTAGCAATTCGCATGAGTTCTTACGATTACCCTTACTTTGAAACAGCCAAATTGTGATTTTAGATTTTCTGCCTAGTTCTCCAGTATCTCCAGTTTTCTCTGTCATCCCTTACTAATAGAAAGATAGACGTGCATCATCATCAACTAGCCTGCCTCCGCCACAGATACCCAGATTCCCTATCCAGCCCGTATATTTCCTGAGCCCAACTGCAGGGGCCAAACTCTATGTGTTCTAGGTGCTGAGTGTCAGAACAGAAGGCACTTCCTACGGTAAGGTGGGGCTGAGTCTCCTAGCCAGTTGTCTCATTCAGTATGAAACAGCAGCAGCTCATCCCAGAGACAGGCTGCGATAATAGACTCAGAGCCCATAGTCTGGGAATGCTGAGGCAAAGGAGGAAAGGCAGTGAGTGACACAGGAAGTAGAAAATCCGTATGGAGAACTGCATTCCCAGGCTCCAGGTAGGCTTCTAACAGCCTAGAAACCAATGTAAACTAATATCACATCAGATCTGATGACAGGAGGTGGAAAGCATACAGAGGGTAGGGAGTCCTCAAAATGGTAGGGGTGTGAGCCACAGGAAGGGGGAGTGTCGCAGGTCACGTCTTGAATTCTGACCATGGCATTTCACTCATGCAGACCTTGGGGCTGGAGCTCTCCAGTGTGGTAAGAGACAGAAAGGCTGGGAGGAGAAAAAGCGCTGGACAGAGTCCATCAACAGATCAAGCTTGTCTTCCACATTGGGACAAGACTGGAGTGAAGGGGTAGAAAATGAAGCTAGGATGAGTTTCTGTTCCTCATCCCTAATTTTTGCTCTGCTAGTGATTTAACCATATGGCTTGAACAGCCTACTTTTTCTCTCTGGCCTCCAGCTTGTTTATCTCCACAGCAATGGAGATGTGCAGAGAGATCTCTCAGCACTGACATTTGGATGCTATGTCTCCAGTGTGATCATATCCACAGTATGGTGATCAAGATAAGAGACCCTACAGTGTACTTCCTTCACTTCTATAGAACTCACACTGAAAACCTAGCTAGAGAATACTTTTTTGTTGTTATTACAAAATTATCATCTCCAGATGTCTTACTGCTCTGTGCTTTCCTCCTTGTTGCCAAAATTCAGATGTTGCCAACACTGTTTAGGGAATATATTCACATAAGCAGTCCACGGCCATGCAAGTCCCATAGATGGACAATTCATGCTCACTTACCTCTTTAAAGCAGAGGGGTATAATTTTAGCATTTATGTTTGTTCAGTCAAAGAAAAACAAGTATAGTTGGACACATACGGCTTATTAGCCACCCCTGTTAATGTAGATAGGAAATATATTAAAAGCATTTGGAATTTATCCCTGAAATCTAGAGTTAGGTCATTTTTGATTTACAATAAAGCAAATTTGGCAGCCTCATCGCTGCCATAGATGAAGAACTCTAGATTATCCGCACTAATGAAGAAGATCAGTGGTGTGGCTAATCCAGAATAGTAGGTAAATTATTTAGCCAACTGTCAATTGTCTGTGCTAATGGAGGAGACCAGTGATGTGGATAATCAAAATATAATTTACATTTAGCTTTGGGAAAAATTTACCATACTGTATAGCCCTGTATAGTTGCATCGGTCTAGACCACCCAGGATCCAAATAGGAGGCGATGCAGGTGGTTCAACATGTCTGAGGACCCCTCCCCTTCAGTTTCGGAAACTCAGCTCTACAGATGTTATTGAATAGCGGCTTCGTGTGAAAGATATTGTAAGATGAATGTGGCATCACCTTTCCCTAATTCCACCCGCTGCCTAGTTGGGGAGGCGGGAACCATCCCAAGCAGCTCCACAGGAAGTAAACTGCGATAGATGGGAAACGGCGGTGGGTCACTCTGTAAAGAGATTAGGATGGGAAAGGCTGCGCGGGGCGCGGGAGTATATTAAGATCTCTAGTTCCTAAACACTACTCAGTTTACTCTCTGAAACTGTCATGCACTAGAGCCATTGCACGGTATTTACAGAACGATATCATTTTTATGAAGTCTAAACACTTCAAACTTACATTATTGTTTATCGGGATATTCATTAGTAGTAAGTGTATAAAAACGTATGAGAATGGCAGACACCAACTTGAAGACAGTGGCAGCTTCCGGAAAGGGAAAGGTATGAATGGGAAATGGAAAGAGTTACACAGACGATTTCAGTTATGTTGGTAATGCTTACATTCTTATTGAAGTAAATTAAGGTAAAAGGTTATGATTTGATAAAGATGAATGGTAGATACAGATTTCTATTACTTGAGTTTCAATACTTAAGTGTATATTTAGAATAACTCATAATTTTTCAAACTTGGCAAATGATGTTCTTAAGTGTATGTATGTACCAGCTTGGTCAGATATCTTAGAATTACAAATCAAGTATACAATGCCAAAATTATGATAAGTCAGCCAAACGTTATGTGGATATTTCATATACTTTTTTCCTAAGAGCTATTTTGATTTTTCTTTAATATGTGGCTAAGAAGTATTAAACATTTATAAATAAGTTTTAGGCTAGCTGGCAGAAGACAGAAATGGTTAAGTTCCAAAGGGAAACCTCTTTCAAAGAAAACGTATCATTTGGCTTCAGACATGCCAAATGGGTATGTGTCGCAGATCATGATAAGCCTGCTGCATGGGGCATGGTTCAGGCCAAGCATGTGGATTTGGGAACCATCAGCTGAGGGAGGCCAGAGCCGGGTGAGTAGGGAGCTGTCCTGAGTCATGAAGAGAAGAATGATGTCCTCTTGAGTGGGGACATCAAAGAGAAGAGATGGTTCCTTTGGGGTGTTGCAAAACCACCTAGGAGCACTTTCAGACTAGATGCAACCCACCACCACTCTGTTCCCCACCATGAGAATCAATTGCCTTCATGAGCAGTGAAAATTGAGTTAAAATAAGCTTACAACCACTTATGTGGAGGGAAAAGATCTGAGGGCTAACAGTTTTCACCCACATTTAGGGTGTAAACGTAAAGGGAAAAAGAGAAGGGAGAAGCACTTGATGGAAGGCTGTTGAAGAGACAGACAAGCAAAGGTCTGATGCAACATAAGGCCAAAGAAAATAACCCCCCTAACAGCAGTATGAAGCATATGTAGGGGACCCACCCACCCCCAGCTATTGCTGTTAACTCTGACTGGGGGAGAGTTTGACAGGGGAGATTGAAAAAAGTAAAGTTTTCATAGGTCAAGAAATAAGGGAAGAAAATCCAAGTCTGAAAAAATGGAGTGGAAACACGATTGGGTGTCAGGCTGGGTGACCCTCCCAGTGTCCCAGCATGGGTATCAGTGATGCAGGACTCATCTCTAATGACAGTAGTCCATAATCTTGCAGGAAGGTTGTCTGAACAGTGTGTCCTTGTGCCATCCTAATTTCAAATGCAATTTTCAGGAATGCACAGAAAGGCGGATGTTTAACCAGACCTTTCCAACATCTCCATTCATCTACTACTATGATGACAAATACGGAATTCGGGAGAGAGAACGGAGAATAAAACGAAAAGTAAAAGGTATGTTATTAGACATCTTGCTAAATCACCTTTGCAGCAGTCTCTGAATTTCTCTTTTTGCCCTATCTTTGCCTGCTTTGGGGGTCATTGGTTAGCACAGAAAGTGTTTTTAATAATTACCATAGAAACCAGAACTTGCTTGATCTCCAGAAATCAAGTGCCCACTTCAGAAATCCTGCGTTGTAATCTATTCACAATAAACATTTTTCCAACGTAATGATCATTTAGAAAATGTCCAGAAAATACTTCTATCCATATATATAGGAAGAGTTTTTAAAGGCTTCTTTGAGATTTTTCTATTTGACTAGTGATTGTTTTTCCCCTTTGTATATCTCTAGTATTTTTCATGGAGAAAAAGGCTTTCCCTGCTAGGTGATTCCTGGTGATTCCCAGAAGTCATTTCTTACTGGCCACGAATACTCGCAGAGCTGCAGAACCACGGGTATCCTCTGGGGTTTCTTTATTTATTGTTGCTGATATAGAGTTCTTTCTCACCCAATTATCTTACAATGTAAGCCTTCTTTCTCTACCTCTGTTCCTTCTCGCGATACACTTCAAGATGGTTTACCAAGTTATGTTTCTTGCTTTCAGGAAAAAATAGCTCTGTGTTTTTCAAGTTGACCTATACGTGGTTGACTCTCTGGGCCTTTTTATTATTCTTTTCCAGGCTCTTTTTAAAAGATTAAAAAGAAATGCACCAAAATGTCATCTCTGGATTAAAGGATTATGGGTGCTTCTGTTTTATTTTCTTTATACTTTTTCGTATTCCCCAAGTTTTCTATAATGAGTGTTTATAAGTCTTATAATCAGAGAAGAGCCTTTTGTTTTCCTTTTTAACTAGTTATATTGACAGCTCTGTGGCACAGGTCTACTTTGAGGTTTGCTGTGATCCATTGGAATTTTTATTTTACTCTTTGCTTTATATTCTTTTTTTTTGTCCCCTAAATATACTACCTTGCACTTCATCTCATTGCGGGGAGGGGGCAGGGGGGGGGGAACGGGGACACTTCTTTAATCTTTGAAGGTTTGTTGACATGTTGGTTCTCATCCTTCACTGTAACCTCACCTCCCACCTAACCTATCAGAATCAGTACCATCAGACCCTTGCAGTAAGAGTGCAAAGTCCTCACAAAATAGAATATAACATCAGATCTGGCCCTGAAACCTCTCAGATACACGTGTGTGCACATGTGCACCCTCTCCAAGCCAGCAATTTCTGCTCTGGAAGAATAATCTGCCCAGTTTGGCACCCACCTGTAAGTGCTGTGGCCATACTTTCTCTTCACAGGGTAATTGAAATGTCATTGAGACTGTTGGAAGGACATTTATGTATCTCGCTTCACCTTATCATTAAGGGCTGTCCCTTAAATTGGTCAGACATGACTTTCCTCACAAAGCTAAGATGATTACTGCTTTCACTGGGCCTCGTCTCCACTGTTTAATCTAGTTAATTTGTATTGAACAGAATAAATATCATTGGCCTTCTGAATGTTTTCCATTTTTAGCAGTCAGAAACATAGAACTACAGCCATGCAATTTTTAGTGAGTGATTTTTGCCTTAGTAAGGGCTCTTTAGAATGTCGTATCATTAATGCATTTCAATGTCTGGCTTCCCTTTCTGCTCAGTTATTCACAGACCTGTGAAAGCTGTGCGTGCCCTGTCTAGCTGCAGAATATGCAGAAATACAATACTTTTTGTATTTTCCAGAACTCCAGAAAAGTGGGGATTTTCCACGGCAGTTCAAGAGGCCCCATGGGGAGGCAGCAAATCTGAGGTCCCACCATGAGATGAGGAAGAGTCAGGCCTCGTGGAGAAACAACAGGTGGCCTCAGGAGAAGAAAGAACCGACCAGCAGGAACAACAGAGAGCGTGAAAAGCACAGGAAGGCTGACAGGTGTCATGACATGGAGGAGGACTTTCCCAGGGGCCCCAAAATTCACTCCTCTCCCGGCACTTCCAAAACCCAGAAGCCTCACAAATCCTTCCAGCAGCCACATTACCACAGGCCGAGAGAGGATAAGCTGCCCACAGAGGGCAAGCGGGGCAAGCATAAGAAAAAGGAGAGGCACTTGGAAGACGATGACGGTGACAATTTATTTCTTATTAAGCAGAGGAAAAAGAAGTCTAAACTGTGAGACAGCTTCCAATTTGGCTTTCCACTGTTTGTCTGGTCTTCATGTCTAGACATTCTGGCAATATTTTTGTTTTCTGTGATTAGATAAAGTGAGGTTTTTTTTGGTTTTGTTTTTTTTTAATCACAGCCATATCGAGAGCTGCTGAGCAAAGACCGTGGAGATGCTGTGTCCGACAGGTTACTCAGGAAGAAAACAGAAAGATGCGCTCAGACTCCCCCTGTTCCAGGCCATCTTTTTTCCTCAGAACTTTAGAGAGAGAAAGAGTTAATCTTTTTAAGATAATTTTTAAAAAATACATTGAAGACATAAAAATTCATCAAATGTAATTCATCTGCAGTGTGACTGTGTAAATCAAATCCTTGCAGCAAGAAAACCTAACACAACTATGAACTATTCATCTATCTTTTTCAGCATTTAAAAAAAATTTTTTTAACAGTGGAAAAGGTAATCGCTGTGAATCTTAAGTCCAGTGTTTCCTGCTTCTGAAGCTGGTGTCAGAATCTTCCTTTGGTCAGAGCATCCCAGGCTGAAAAAATGAAGGTGTCATCGCTGAAGCCCTGGAGGGGCGGGGAGTAGGGCTGTAGCAAAATGCAAGTGAGGCATCCATCCAGTGTACATGTCGCGAGACGGATTTCCCGAAGCACGTGAAAGAGTCATCAACAAACTAACGTAATCACAATGATACAGGTTCTACCACTTTTATAGCCACACTATCACTCAGCTATATAGAGAGAAATGTTGCCCAACTTAAAAAAGTGTTTTGTCTTTAACTGCCACAGAGCTGCCCAGAAATTTTTGTACTTGTGAATCTTTTGTATTTATCAAAGCCTAATGTTAGAATAAAAAAAATAAAATCTCTGAAATAGAGTAAATAAATCTGTCTGTTATATAAAAAGACAATGATAGTTTGGGTGACAAAGTGTATACTTGGGTTGGACAAGTGACGAAAGATATAAAATCTCCATACATGGTTTAAAAAATGCCCTTGTTGGCCAAGCCCAAGTTCTAGGCCAGAATAAAATGAGATGGAGTCAGTTAACTGGCACAGTTTAACAGTGTTAAATTCTTAAGTTAGTGTTTTATGTATTCTTTGTGAAGTACACAAAGTGCTGTATATCTGGTAGGATCGGCCCTCTTGTCTTTTGGGGGCAAAGGGAGAATCTCTCTTCCCGAATCTGCTTTCATGAAGTTGTAGGTCCACAGTCTTGAGTCCTCACCCTTCCTGTGGCTGCTTTCAGTGAAGTGGAAGGGTTCACTGCATTGGTGAATGGCTTCCTAACAATGGCTGCGATTGTTTGACCCTAAGGTAAGTGACCAGAGCCTTTTAACATCCTGCTAAAAGCTCCAGCTGGCTTCCTAGAGTGGCCCGCCTCAGATAATAGGCATTATTCTTCAGTAGGGCCTGGGACAAGCGTGGCTTATTACTGATGTGCTGGGAGTGGCATTCCTTCCAATCCGAGGGCACCTGCATTAGGGCAGAAATGGGACTGCCATGCTGTCGTGTCCACCACACATAGAAGGTTGTTTGGAGAAGGGAAGAAAGGAAGCTGTTTTTCTGTTTGTTTCTGCACATTCTCTTATTTTTCTCCCCAATTTTATCCTTTTATTAGACAAACATTTTGTTCTGGGGTATAATTTACCCTTCAGGTTTATGCATTTCTATGCAGATAGAAAGGTAGCTGAGCTAACTTACTTGTGGGCATTAGGATGGTAAGAAAAGACCAAACACCGAGGAGCCTCTGTTCCATTTCCTTCTCATGGCCCTGGCACCTGGCTCTTACAGCAAGGGTTCAAAATCAGTCAGTCTATGCACACACTAACTTTCTGTACAAGGATGGGGAGTTTAAAATAGAGAGAGATTTCACAAGACTTTAAATGAATATATACAATTAAGAGAAGAAAAGCAGATGTCCCAAACAATAAGGATCCATATGGTTGCTAGGATTGAGAAGACACTGCATCTGTTGCCTCTGGCCCCACTTTGATTAGAAGCAGCCTGAGTGGCTCCTTTCCTGGATTCTAGCTTAGTTCACATTCTTAGAGCAGAGAGAAACCATCTCACATTCTCTCAATGGAAAGCCCTTTGTGGACCATGCTATTAGGAGTACCTATTATGTGAGAACCATGCTATTAACAGTGCCTATTATTTTTATGTTACACAAGGAGTACATATTTTTTAAGGGGGAAAATATTTTTTAATATATAAATCATACCTGATTTTTCTACCCAAAGATATGGTTAAAATATTAATGTCTGTCCTTCCAGACGTTTTTCTATACATATAAACATTGTTTTGTAAATTGTTTTTCTACTTAAGAGTGAAAATCTTTCTGATTAAATATACATTTACATTATTATTTGTAATGGCTACGTGATATCCTTCAATATATCTATATGTCAATTTATTTAATCATCTCCCTGGTTTTTCTAATTTTCATTACAATCCTTCTGTACACATCATATCTTTTCCACTTATTTAATTGTGATAAAATAGAACTTAGGGGTCAAAAAACATGCATATATTTCATGCAAGTTTCAATATTGCCAAATTATATTCTTGGCATTGTATGAGAGTGTTCCTCTCCCCACTCCCAAAATAACATGGAGTATTTTCATTCCTTTTTCTCTTTGCCACTCTGATGGGCAAAGAAACATTATTTGTTAGTGCTGCAGTGAAAAGATTGATGTGGGCTGTGTTTATGTAAGGAGAGACAGGGTTAATAATATACCAGTAATCTGTTGATAAAAGATATGGAGAGAAACTTCTCATAGGAAACAACTGAAAATTCTTCTGCCAACAAAAGATTACATACAAAGTAAAACAGCCTATAATTCCTTCATCGGTATCTTGATCCCTTGATCTTATCTTTGCTTTTCTCAACTTTGAGGGTGCTGGTGGCATCTAGAAAATAGAAGCCAGGGATATTGCTAAGTCCTCGATTCACTTACAACAAAGAATTGTAAAGACAACCCCTTACAACAAAGAATTGTCCAGCCCAAAATGTCAGTCGTGCTAAGGTTGATCAACCCTAATTAAAAACCCAACCCATTTCTCAAAAGGAATTTTCAGTAGGGGTGGCGGGGTGGGGTTCAGGCTGCCCTCCACATCAGACAGGGTGTGTCCTTATTTGTCAATGCTGAGATTTCATCAGACTGTGCTGGTGTTTGAGAGTTTGGTGGGACATCCTGTTCATCTTAAATAAAGACCACTACTTCCATGGCATGAAGATCTACAGACCATTTGGACCCCTTTGTGGAGGGACAGGGCCACTGGAGACAGGGATGTTATTTACTAGTATAACCAGGAAGCATGGATAGAAATGCTAGAGCACCAGGCTGGGTGTTAGCTCTGTGGAGATAAATACAGAAAAGCGGTGTGAGAACAAAGGGAGTCAGCTGCGGAGAGAAGGGGAGTTGGAAACTATCTAATGATACATTTGATTGGTTAAGAATGGCGTTAGGTTGTGGGAGCCATCACCAGCACCCAAGTTCAGCACAGGCTCTTAGGGTGTGGGCTTCACATTTCACAGAAGTACCAGCTGAGACATGGTTTATTCCCCATGCCATGAAAAGAATCGTGATGAAGCTCTTTAATAGTTGCTCTACCCAGATAGAACACCTAAATTCTGGTGCATTTAATGGATATTTAATATACACAATGGACAGTGTACATATCCATTCTAACAACCATGAAATCAATCACTTCTTAAAGTGATTTAGAAGGAAGTGTTTCCAATAAAACCCAGTGAGGGAGTGGGGAAGTGAGACAGGGAAGAAAAGAAAGATTCCAAACTGGTTGCCTTTATCAAGTCCTACATAGGGCAGCTTTCGAACTAGAGACAGTGTAGGCCACACCTCAGAGTTGCCCTGATCGGGCCAAAGGAGAGAGAGAGAGAGAGAGTGTGTGTGTGTCTTTTTTTGTTTTGTTTTAAGTCAGTCACTGTTTCAGAGCTGTTCCCGGGTGCCTTTCCCAGCCAACTCGGGCTCTCTATACACCCAGGCAAAGTGGGTTTGGGCAGCTAGAGGGCAGCCCCCTGACAGAGACACAGAGATATGAATAAAACACTAACATCTGCTACAGCCATTATCTCAGAACAGTTCTTCGCACAAAAGAAGACTTGGCAGTCATGCACCCAGACATTTTTTTAAATTACTTTTGAATACAGAAAATACAACTTTATTCTGATGTACTACTGTATCTGACCATTTCCTAGGTAAGAGCTTAGCTGCTGGTGTTCCCCATATATGACAGGGCAACATGAAAGAGTCACAAATATCAAATTTAGTACATGCATCATAGTCATTATCAAAAATAATTTCAGGAATTTCTACTTGCAGCCAAGACTGGAGTAATGGACCAGATTTACCCTCCCTCCTGAAACAATGTAAAAAATATGTAAAGCAGTTTTCAAGACATTGAACATCAGACAAGGAAGGACAGTGAACTCTGAGAGATGGCAAACAAGTGAGGTGCCCCAGCTGACTGCTTGGAGAGTTTCCTGGTTGTGGAGCAAGGAGGGGAAACCCAGGAAGAGCTTTGTGGTCTCCTTGAGTTGAGGAAACAGCTGGGAGCCTCGAAAAGCCAAAGTGGCTAGAGTGTGCAGGTCAGGTTTCCAGAGAGGAGAACCCAGAGATCAGCAGTGTCCCCTGAGTCTTCAGGTGAGGGAGTACTGGTCGGTGCATATGTGTGAGGAAACCACCTGAAGGGATTAGAGGGAACTGTTTCGGGAGCTCACACGGCCCATCCCAGTGTCCATTCTCACCAGTCAGAGTGGGAAACCTCATCGTTACGTAGCACTGACTAGAGTACTTAGAGGAGTTTTTGCCTCATTGATAGGGAAAAGTTAGCCCTGGTGTAAACTCTGGTTCTGCCTAACTAGCTTAAAACCAAGACCTGAAAGAGTCAGACTGTGTCCAAATATCTTAACCAATTTGAAGAACAAAGCTCAAGAATATTTATAAAATACAAAAGTAGCACCCAATACTATAAAATTCCCAGTGGAATACAACAAAAATGCAAATTAATCTACAGTGACAGCCTGCAAGGGCGGGGGGAATGGTTGGGAGAGGTGAGAAGCAGGGATTACAAAGGGCACAAGGAAATGGGGTGAGGAATATGTTTGTTATCTTGATTCTGGAGATGGTTTTGTGGGTGTATACCTATGTCGAAACAGAAGAAAAGTCTAATTTCGTTCATAATCTACTGGAAACATTTTAATGTTTTTTCACTGAATTGGGAATATTCTGAAAAAGCTGGGTGAGGCCAAAGATCAGTAGACTACAGGCCATCCTGTTTCGTTCCCTGCTTTGCCCATGTGGGGCCAAGAAGAAGACGGAGCACAAGGCAAGTACCTAACTGTAGGGCCTGGGGGAGGGCATTCGCTGACCTCTCAGGCCTGAGCATAGGAAATGGATGCGAAAACTCACTGCACCAGCACTGGGGAACCATGGCCCACAGGCTGATGTCTAGCTTCCTGGCCTAACATTCAAAACCTTTCCAGCCTCCTCTTCTACAGCATTTCACTCTTCTTTCTCTTTTATCCTTCACCCAGGAAGTCCCATTGCATGAATAGCTAGTCCCTGAACAGGCCATGCCTCCCTCACCTATGCTGTTTTCTCTGCCCAGAATATCCTATTCCTTTTAAGACCACCCCAGACAACATGAACCCTTCCCTCTTTGGTATCCCTATTGCCTTCTGAGTTAATTTAGTCGACAAATATTTGCCATGGATGTTTTTGTGCCGGGTAGTATTCTTGCTTGAGGTTGACTTTATTAGAAGAAATCTCAAGCCTCGGGAGCTAACAAGCAATTGAAGAGACAAACACAAAAATGAAGACTTTGTCATACAGGTGAGGAGTGCAGGGATCGATATGGC